AAATAATGACTTGTGGTGTTCATTGTGTAACATTTAGGAGGATCTATTGGCAGAAATGGAATATAATATTCATAGGAATGTTTTCATTATTGTATAATCATAATCACCTTTTGCATTTTTTGCACATTTTGCAGCCAGTTTCTCCTTCGCGCTTGGAAGGGAGGGTGAAGCAAGGGAGTTGCCATCTGTAACTTCACCACTAGATGCCACTAAATCCTACAAACTGGTCCTGGATCAAATATTTACTGAAATTTGATATTTCATATAGATTGTCTTTTGATACTGTCATACATTTTGTGTGGAGGATGACAACAACCCGGCTAAATCTTTGCTAAAATGCTGGAAGCCTCATTTTGTGTGGGAAAGTGATTTGACCTAAGGGATCAACCATCAATTATGGAACAGAATAAAGTTTAATGTCACATATATGTACAACCATACACAGTGCAATGTATAGTGAAATATGTCCGATAAGTAATAGGAGCAGTGGGCAGCCAGTGTTTTGGTCAAGGACACTATTAACCTAACATACATTTTATGTACAATTTTTGTTATTACAGAAACATCAGTTCTAAGCAGCCTACTATCCCTAGGAACTGATGATTCTGCACTGCAAGATTAATGTCCGATGCCATCCAGTGCCAACGCAGAAAGCAGTGTGTCTGTATGTAGTAAGGTGACAGCTAGAGGTGTGGAGGCCAGGGTGGTGGATGGGCATGTGACTTTCCTGCAGGAGGCCATAGTTTGCTTCCTATCACAGACCTCTATTCACTGTTCGCATTTTAGTTAACTGTTATTAACTAACCATGGTTTTAGTAACATCACCATACCTTAACCTGCCAATAACCTTAACCAGATCAAGTACTATGGATAGAAATGCAGGAAGTGGATGCTTGTCATTACATTATTATGATTCAGGGTTTTAATATTGACTATTTTTTTTGGCTGCACTAGGATTAGTCTGAGAATGTTCTCATTTCTCTTGCGATGTATTAAACTGCCAAGCTTTATGATGAGGGTCACTATGTTTTTTGGGTTACCTCAGGTTAGAGTATCCAGCCCATGATTTATGTATTATTACAATGAAATGAATGAAAAAAATCGACCTCTAGCCATGTATGCTATTGTTCCCAGATTGGTTTATTTCAATTATAAGCTATTTAAATGCTATTCTTCTTATATGAATTCAGTCTCCAGCTAGTCTAACTCGAGGCACACACACATTCTCATAATTTCCCCATGGATGTATTTACCTGGAGAGCAGCAGCAGGTCAGCAACATAAATCTGAATTGTCTCTTGTGGAGAAGTGACGCACTAGAGAGAGAGAGAGAGAGAGAGAGAGAAAGGGCGAGACAGGCAGAGATAGAATATTAATTAAAAAATGTTTCCCCAAAGAGAGAGCCAGTTCTGGCTCCGTAATTAAAGCTTTTCAGTCTCAACATTTATCCCCTCTTATAATTATTTCAAACTACTAAGTGCATGGTTGAAGAGTCATGTGCATGTGTGTGTGTGTGTGTGTGTGAGTTTGTCTGTGTGTAAATACACAGTTTGAATGCATTACTACGGATTAGGCTTCAAAACAGAGACACACTCACATCTAGATTGGATAGAATGGGAAATCAATGGGAGAATTCCCCAAATCACCCCTGGCCTTTAATGACCAAAAGGACCTCTATTTACTATGGAGGTCAACTCAATTTATTGACACAAATTGCTTTTCTATTCAGGGCCAAAGGGATTTCAACCTGTCTCCCAATGCAAACTTAATCAAACACTGATCAAGGTAACTACACAACAGAGGTCTCAGCCCTAAAATACAGTGTCTTTTCCCTTTTAGCAGCACGGCTCATCTCTGTCAGACCATCTAGTCTTCTCTCATATTATGTCAAAACTCTTTTTGATGATAAAGACTAAGAAATCATGGCTCATAATTAGTTGTGTTCATACAGTTCCTTTGTGGTGGATTTCCAAGCGAACATCCATCACTTCCCTAATACTAACTACATGATATACCAGAGCTATAGAGGCTTGACTTGAGTCTGACTTCAAAAACAAAAATGACAACTGGACTTGACCCCTCACTGGAATGAAAATGTTTGAATATCATTTTAATGTTCAGAATTGTTAAACTTTTAAGACCTGACGACTCGACTTGGACTTGTCCTCAAGGGCTTGAGACTCAGATTGAGCTTTTTTGTTTGACTTGAGGCTTGTTATGGACATGTCTCAAGCCTTGGCTTGGACTTGTTTCAAATGACTCGCATATTGTCTCAACTGACTCGCATATTGTCTCAACTGACTCAAGATTTGACTTAAACCCATACTTCTCCCAATTCATGACAAATTCTCACTGTACAGTGTGTACAGCTGAGTCACATTTGGCCCTTTTGCTATGTGTATATAAAAGAATGAATGAATTAATGACAACTGATGAATATTAGTTTACCAGAGATTCATGCCAGAGAGTTGAATGATTAGTATTTACTAATAAGTAATAGTAATTAGTATTAAAAGTAAAATTAAAAGTATTGAACATAAAAATGCTTTTATTTTCATTAACTAACTAACTAAACTAAAAGTCACCAGAATGCAGGAAATAAAGTCTCTGAAACGCAAACAAAAATCTGGGGACCACCAGACCCCTCACTTTGGTTTTAAAATCCTCCCTTTTTTTGATGTGTCAACATTGGCAAGTATGCTTGAACCTGTCTTGATTAATTAAAGACCTTGACTTGTATCGACTGACCCTTGAACTCAATTACCCCAAGACATGACTTGAACTGGCCTGAAAGACTATAAAATAGCTCTGTGATATACGGTATGTAACGAATGGGAACATAGTGAAATGGATGCAGCCTTGAGGAACAATTGAGATATTCATTGAACGTTCTTTAGGTAATGTAACACACTGTCTAGCACAGTAAAGCTGCAGGCAGGATGCTATCCAGACACCAGTAAATCTTCAGCACTGCATAGGATTTACAGCAGCAAAACGCCCTTTAAATACGCTACATTCCATAGAGATAACTCTGCTGCCAAGCTTAGATTGAAAAGACTGAAATATAACAATGTCTGTGGTTTTGTTCATCTGGAAAGACTAACAAACAGGA